CGAACTGCCAGGAGATGCTGTAGAGCGTGGCGCAGGCCAGGCTCAGAGTGCCAGCGGGGAGCGCCACGTAACGGGAGTAGTCGGCGGGAAGGGCGAGTGGCGTCAGGAGGCACACGGCCCCTGCCAGAACGGCGGTTTTGTGCAGGCAGTTTCCCACGGCCACCCAGCGGGCCGTCTCGTCTCCGATGCGCGTGGGTTCGATTACGATGTAGCGGTACTGCGCCTCCAGAGCCTGCTCCAGCTCGTACTCAAACTGCTCCTGTGCATTCTCGCCGTTGTAGATCTCGTGGACGATGTAACACTCCGTGGCCGCCATCACTCCCCTAAAGAGAAAGATAAAAAGTGAGAATTCGGAATTAATCCAATCCCATTTCCGATTCTGAAAGTTCTGTTTATGAACCTAAACGTTGCAATCTGATTCACATATTCATTTACATGCATCACATGCAGTCTAAACAAAACCCAGCTGGAGCGTACAGAATTAGCGAAATCCAAGGTGACAATGTCACAAATTTTTTTTTTTTTTTAATATTTAGTAAAGATTCAGTCTCCTCCACTAACCAGTTCATAAGATGGAAATAAAAAAAACTCACACATTCATTAGATGTAAAATGTATGTAAGCATACGCTGCATCATGGCACTGTGCATGTACATGCTCACAATGTATTTTTGAATGTGATTGAGAAAATTGTTGTATTGAAGAATTTTATTTATTTTTTTTTACTGTTTATCGGATCAATTCAGGTCTACATCGAAAACCAGCGTTATAATGTCACTGGAGCTACCGAGAGTATAATTGTTGTTTCTGCATATGTCGGAAGAGCTTTTTTAGCTAATATTTAGCAAATATTCAGTCTCCTCTACTGATCACTTTGTAAGAGCAAGTAAATATGCTCACGTTTGTGAGACATATGTAAACATATTAAGGTATTATTGAATCAGATAGTTATATTCTATGCTTCATTTCTTCATATTGATCATTAATTATTTCAGGTCTACACCACCCCTTCCAAACCGAAATGTTATTTGGATTGAGCTCTATCAAATCAACTGAGACATTCACATGAAGCTTTTTCAGTCCAGTTGAGCCATCAATGTGTTTATTTGGTTGCATGTAAATTCTGAGATTTACTGTGAGGAAAAATAGTAATACCGAGTTCATAAAACAGTTAGACGGTTTTACAGATACTTTAAGACCAGCCAACATCTCTTCAGATGGGATGGCATTTTCTGTGCTTTTTTTTTTGTAATTTTATGCGGAATTTTGCAAAAAGTATTTTAAAATGACCGTATAAAATCCAAAACGACCGTATATTCTGGTCTTTATTAGACACGACCTGTCTCGCGTTATCTAGATCAGCCAGAGCATCTGCGGCCTGAGTTCACACAGTGAAACAAGAAACTTTTGAGCTGATGTTATAGAAGTATAAAGGCTGACAGTAAATTTTCATTTGTACAATGAAAGACCCTTGCTCAGGAATATAAATGAAATCTTGTAATTTCAAAATGGCCGTTATCTTTGATATACTGAGCTGCTAAATAAATCGACAGACAAGTGAGAGCGGTCCGCCGTTTGCAACGGTTAAAATAAATTTAACGCATACCGTCAGTTTAACAAGCAGGGCATGATTAAACTACCAACATTTTTGGCGGAAAAATACAATTTCTTCCCGTTTTCAGGATATCTGCGCCAACCACTAAAGTTAGTATAAAAACTATAAATGCCTGCTAACTGTACACATCTCCTTGAAACTCGCTGTCATGGCTGTGAAGCGCTATTTTAACTTGTTCCTCTCGTGTCAATATGGGTAACACATACTACAAAAAAAAGATATGTGATCAATGTCTCGATTTCAGATATAACTGCCATAAAAATACGTTTTTGCTGTTATCTGCACTGCTAATCAGTTGAGAGACACCAGAGTCAGTAAGCTAATCAAAACAACACGTTCAAACAATATTTTTTTAGTGTTTGCGGATCCACAAAACTCCAAAACACCTAGTATTTAAAGGATACTAAACTAACTTAAATTGTGCATAGAGCCTACAAATTTCACGTCACGTATTATGAAATAATGACAGGTTTTAGTCTAACTGACCTCTCCCTGTTGACTGGGACACCTCGCCTCCTTCCCAGCGACGCCATATTGAAAATGCAACGGACTAGACTTGACGCAAAACCCGTCGCGGTGCACTACGGGTAATGTAGTTCTCTGCTCCTTAATAATTCTTAAAGTTCTCGAAAGTGTCCAAGAGACTACAAATCCCGTGAACCAGTTTAGTTGGGGACCATACCACCTGAACAGAATGTGTAACGATATTAATATCTGCTTTGTTTTGTTAAAGACAGCTGTTTTTAATATTTGAAACACATTATTTCGTGCAACAGACCAGTAATTGATTTTGATTATGGTTTAATCCGTCAGGCTAAATAATTTAGGCTTGCGTTTATGAATAGCGGAGGTGACCAATCGAAAGCAAGGACAACACTATGGGTCTAATAGTAGGACAAACCATTCCCAAAGCAAATGCAAGCGTTGCACAAACAATGTGGTGTGACAAAACGATTTAACTGTTTTTGTAGCGTGTTTCGGTCATGTTATGAACGTGGATGCGATCAGCAAGGAACTCACCCATAGTGTGGTCGGTTCTCGTTTATGCCGTGAGTCCCGTCCTCGTACGGCGCCCACGGAGCTGGTGCATAGGGGGGTGGGTGAGAGCCGTGTTATAACAACTACACGGTGCTCGCTAACACGTGCAGGGTTTGCGCTCTCTGTCTCCCCCAATAGTGATGGATTGCATAACATAAACTAGTTAAATAGTAACTAGTCTTCTACCACGCTAACTTGTCTTCTACCACGCTACAATCCATCACGCTCCCTAAGGTCGCAAAACTCTGGGCTTTTGGTAGTACCTAGGATAGCAAAGTCCACTAAAGTAGGTAGAGCTTTTTCGCATTTGGCTCCCAAACTCTGGAATAGCCTTCCTGATAACGTTCGGGGTTCAGACACACTCTCTCTGTTTAAATCTAGATTAAAGATACATCTCTTTGGCCAAGCATTCAAATAATGCATCTCATAATCTTGTACTGCAGGTATATCTGATCAAATGCACATTATTATTCTTTAGTTTGGGTTAAACAAATAAATTTTGCTTGGTTGGAACAGCAGCTATGCTAATTATGTCTCTATTTGTTTCTCTGTTTCTGCTGGGATTGACATCCCGTGGTAACTAGGATTTACACAAGCTTCAGTCTGGATCCAGAACACCTGAGAAGAGATGATGCCAACCCCTCAGAGGACCTCAGATGATGCCAACCCTGAAACAACATACAGAACTACCACATTTTGCTATAAGTTTGATTGCATCATAATAATTGCTGTTAATAGTGTTCATCGTCTGTTTGATTACGTCTTTAATTGATTTTTCTGTACATTTCTGCCATATGTACACATAGGCGTAGCTTGATGTTTGAGTTTGGGAGGGCCAAACCGAACCGGTGGATTTGGTCAGACGTACTTTTAAACACATTTTAGTTTTGCTATAGTAAATCTACATATTCACATTCACATAGAGCAGTGGCAAGTGCGTGAGGTTGTCATGGTAACCACATACATTGCCCACGAATTACAGCTGCGCTTCTATTTTGCCACACTAAACTTACATCATTTTATTCCACACAACAGGCAAGCATTACCGTTAAGTCTATTATTCACCAAAATGCAGATTCGTCACGTGACAATTTTACGCAAATGCGATTGAGGGAGACGTTAAGTTTATTTAGATTTATTCATTTACTTACAATAACAATTTAAAATGTATTTACTTTTACGTATTCACTTTTGCATGTATTATTAACTTCATTATATACATTTTTACTTCATAGAGAAAACTTTATAAATAAATATTTAGTAAAATTCTTACATCGCTATGGGGGAGCCAGGCCCCCCTGGCCCCCCCCACAAGCTACGCCCATGTATGTACATTGACTGACAGTCACCACTGATAAGCTACCACTAAATATTGTAGAAACTTAATTTGCTGTAAAGTTGCTTTGCAACGATTTGTATCGTGAAAAGCGCTATACAAATAAACTTGAATTGAATTGAATAAACACATAAACCAATAATTTGATATCTGTGCATTATTATTATCTGTGCATATCTGTGCATTTGAAAAAAAGGGAACCATGTTAATTATAGTCAACTAAAAACATTTTCGTTACTTGAAATAAACGTTAACTGAAATAAAATATAAATTAAAAAAAATATTTGAGCTAACCTACAGCTGCTAAGACATTCATTTTAACTTGAAGTACTAAAATATCTAAAAACTGAAATACAAAACAACAATTATAATAAAAAAGATCAACTTTTTTTTTTTTAATGACAAAAACAAAATAGCTAAAACTTAAAATATAAAAATAAAAACTATAATCGTATCTATATGATACTTAAATGAAACTGAAGAGAACTAAAAACAAAGCTTTCTGGAATCATTTTTTTCTAATCTCTAAAAGTGTTCAAATTCCTTTAGAAAAATATGTAGATTTTACAAAAAAAAAACATTCAATATTCATGGAAAACATATTTAAAAATATATATTTTATTACAGTCACTGTACTAAAAAAAAAAGCAAATTGAGTAAAACAATTCACTGTTCAGCTATTTAAAGGGACAGTTCACCGAAAAATGAAAATTGTCATTATTTACTCACCCTCATGTCATTTAAACCCGACTTTTGTTTATTTTGTGACAATATGAAGATATGCCAATTGCTTACCATGCAATAATAGTCAGTGTTGTCTGGACCCCAACATTCTTCAAAATATCTTTATCTAATAATTTGTGCTCCACAGAAAAATGTCATATTGGTTTGGAACAACATGATGGTGAATAAATGCCATTTACTCATACTCATGGACATAAACACTCATCAACCAAGTTTTGTCTTAATTTTTTTATTCAAAATCATTAATAGTAATATTAAGAGTACATAAGTGTGAAAAAACAGATGAATTTCGGGTAACTTTAGTCTGTTACATCACAAATTGACATAACAGAGCCCAGTTTTTTTACTTGAAAAAAATAACCTTCCTTATCATCACCAGGAATACAATGGTCATCAATGGTGTCAGCACAGAACATGGCATGATGGTCTGCTCCGTGTGCTGCCTACCCTGCAAACAACCTTGCTTAAATCTGGCTTAAGGCAGTTAATCAACTGACTTTTAATAAGACCCCTGGGAATTTTGGGAGTAACACACTGACATTCATATGCTCATATTCGGTTATTCAACACATACACACACACATACATCCAACCATATGTAACAGAATCCTCTATGCAGAGGTGCTTTATTGTTTTTATAAAGTGTGCATCCTGAGAGGTTCAGCCCTGCGAATATATGGGCCGGCGATTGTCTCCAGAGTCTGAGCTCTTCACTGGCCATAGTATACACAGATACACACATGCAAAAGCACAAGATCAGCCTAGAACATGCACAGAATGAAACAGTCATTTCTGACAGTATGGTTAGATTGTGATGCCCCTAAAACTTCAAGCCAGGCTGAGTGTGCACGTTCTGCGCATGTGGGAACACAAGTGCGTGTGTTTATTTCTCTTGTGAGCACCACTAAATCTGAATGTGTAAGGCCAGAGAGGCATATGGTGATTTAACATCACCTCTTATGATCATATCAAACTATTCATATTTTGAGTTCATGATGGGTGTCATAATCCTCTCACTTCTCTGGATTGGCTCAAAAGTCCACTTGAGTTACTGGGAAACTAGCCCACCTCAAAGTCCACACTCTTATCTTTCCTACGAAAACGTTTTGTAGTTTCAGATCTCTCCCCTTCTTAAATCGCATTCACTCAAAAAAAAAAAAAATCTCTTTCTTTTGTGGAGTTTCAAGACCAGTCAGACAGTTTAGGGAATCCCAAAAGATATCCATCCCACCCAATCCCAAATCATCCTATTAGAATCGAGATCGTCCCCATCTCTCACTCTCAATGGAGGATGTGCTCCAAGTAATGGGGGTGAGGGTTTTCTTTGACGTATTTCTGGATGTACCAGCATGTTAAATGGGCTTTCAGGTCCTCCTCCACCACAAAGTCCATTGCAGCCTAGCAAAAACAACCACAAACTATATTTTAATGCACAACAACAGACGATGTAATATCATCATGTATAAACCAGTTCACACTGTTCTTGAGTAACCTTCTACAACCTTGGCAAGGTGTTTGGCGATCTCTCGTCCTCGGTAAGCTTCAGGAACCTCAGTGTGCTGCAGATCCACTGTCTTCTTCCCCACATATTCATACAGCAGAACAGCCCTGTCATGGGAACCTTCAATATACAGTGGGTACGGAAAGTATTCAGACCCCCTTAAATTTTTCACTCTGTTATATTGCAGCCATTTGCTAAAATCATTTAAGTTAATTAAAATTTAAGGGGGTCTGAATACTTTCCGTACCCACTGTAGATGCAAATATATTAGTCAGCGTACAGTAAACAAAGTTATTCGTGACCGTGAAGAACTGCTCAGTCAAACAGGATGCATGTCTATGCTTTGTTTTTCGTTTTCACCGTCGTAAACGAGCGCTTTCCGGGGAAATAGTCGCATACAGACGCTTTTTTCATGTAAAACCCCGCAAGAAATAAACGCAAGTCTGTTCCTGTTCCTCTGCTGTTGCTGGTTTTCTACTGAAAGACAATTGTAACGACATGGATTTTCTTTGTACCGATAGAAAGATGATAGAACAGGAAGTAGCCTAAAACAAAGTCTGCATGGGATGGCTAGCGGGTAAGCTAGCAACTTAGTAACTGATTCAGTCAGAGAAGAAAACAAAGCTTGCGTTAGAGCAAATGCACGAACTGTGGCTAGTGACAGGCGAGAATTACTGCGGCTCCGCACGTCAAAACAAAACAACTAAAATTGCAGCATTCATCGGACGAATCCGACTCATTAAACGCTTGTCAAAAAGCTACTACAACCCAGAAAGATTAAAAAAAAATAAGCTGATGCTGGGGAAAAATGGTTCCATTCGTTCCAACAAAACAACTAATGTCATATTCAATTAACTACTGGGATCAAAGCATGTAACGATATTTAGGTAATGCGTACTAGGCTATATAACTAAGATGGGTTTTATTAGATAACACGTTTACCATGTTGAGAAGCGAAATATAATAAACAAAAGGCAGATTTTGCAGGCGAGCGCACGGTGGCTTGTCCTTCTCCCCCCGCGACCACCATCTCGTTATATCTGACGCATTACTGACCGTTCAGTCGGATGTTGAATTGTCGTCTTTTTTTGTCGTGCTCCACTCGGAGAGGAGTGTCGATATCGAGGACGTTCATCTGTGCAGCCTGGGCCATAACGACTGCGGGTCTGCTGTCGGGGGGGGGGCAGTTGTGTGTCAGTGTGCCACGGCTGATTCGACTACGATGAGAGGCGCATTCATGCCTCGCCGAGGTAAGGATGAACATCTGATCCTTCGAAAACACGCCATCCACGGAAAGCAGCTGTGAAGGCACGTGCTCGCCGCTGACCAATGAGGACGGACGCGTTGTTTTGATGCGCGCGGTCTCTTTGAAAAGAGCTTGCAATGCGGCCGCCAGGTGGAGATAAATGTTTGCTGTTCAGATTTTTTTATGAGCGATATTTTACGAAGGCATGTTGGGTATTTATTTCATGAACTAGTAGAATATATTGCAAAGGTATTTTAGAGAAAAAAAATAGAAGCTTGTTTTCTCTATTCTTGTGTACTCCCTAACCAAAATCAAAATAATATAATGTATGGTGATGTATTAAGTTAATTCATTTTTTTAAACTCTAACGTTACGGGCCTAAAATAAGCATAATTGTTTTGATATAAATGCTAATTTAAAATGAAATAATCGATTATTTTAATCAATATATATATATATATATATATACATTATTATTATTATTGCCAGGTGAAGTTAATTTGGGAGTGGGGAGGTCGCTAATTATTCTTATCATTATTATTAATAATACTTTTTAATTTGCATAGAAATTTATTAAATTAAAAAGGTGATCATCTCCCTCATGTCTTAATGTAAACATTCTGCTGAATTCTGGAATAATTAATAGTCCAGTTTTTATCTAATTTGTTTTCTTTATAGCGGTTAAAGCTATATTTGCCAAAGTTTTCTGTTTGTCAGTTAGTCAGATTCCAATTATACAAAATGACATGTACTGTGAAAAGTGCTACACAAGTCAACATGACGTAAATTGATTCTGGAGTTTAATCTCATTATGTCTATAGATATCCTGAAAACCATGTAAGACACATGACAGGTGCTGGGGTGAGGGGTCAAAACCTGCTCGGACACAGAGTTGAGGAAATGGCTTTATATCCATGCTGGTGAGGTTCAGAGATCTCAGATCCATAGTCTCACATCCAAAGCTCACAGACTTTGCATAAGAGAAAGGAACAAACACACAACCAAACACAAATACTTAATCACAGGTTAAAAAAATACAGCACATCCTTTCAACAGAGGATGGGTTCATGTTTACTAATAAAAACCATAGCATATAATACATACAATATTTTGATGGCAAATACTAACCATTGGAAGTTATTTCTCATTAATAAGATGATCATTTTAGTGAATCACTTTAGAATTTTTCACATAAATAATCACTTATAGCACCTCTCAGATTTGCATCTTTAAAACTATAAAAGAATAATATAAGATATTTGGATTTGTGTGTGAATGACTGTACAATACAGAAATTGATCCTAATCATGATAACAAAAATAATAATAATAATGACAATAATAATGCATTTAGGGACAGACTATACTGGCCAGTGTTAGTGTTAATGCAATCAGATTTAAGAAAGTCTAAGATTCTCAATCATACACACAATATGTATTAATTGTCGTATGGATGTGTCTGTGTATTTGAATGTAAGTTTATAGCGGGTTCATTTGAACTACACCAACAACACATCTTAATAAAAGACCCTTAACAGCCTGGCAGTTTCAGCCAACAGAACCAAGTTGATACATAAATGGCAAAACCAAAAGAGTTTGGAATGTACTCAAGAAAGCTCTATACATTTTTAGGGCCTCATTTAGGTATATGTATATATTTAGGGCCTGTCTAATATCTTCCTCAGGGTGTTGATGACTCTCCACTGTTCCAGGGCACCACACTGGCCTTGAACTCTCCAGGTTTGGCTTCCTCCATCTCTTGGATCAGTTTGTGCATTGGAAAGTCCCAGCGCGGGAATGCTATATCACCCGGCGACAGTGTGAGTGACGGGCAAAAGTCATTGGCCCCATCGCCCACGTACAAAACCTTCTGGTACGGTCGTCCACTCCTCTCTCGCACGCGCTGGTATATCTGTGATAAGAGCATTCTAATGATCATCTCTTGATTCATTCACTTGGAATGTCGCCGTCTTGAATGCTGATGTTAGGTTATGGGAATTGTTATGTCTCATGTCAAGCACTCCTTGTTGCAGTAGTTTTTAACTTCTGTATCTATACTCATGATGATGCAACTCACCTCTTTTCAACTTAAGCTCGCCGCTGCTTAGTGTTAACCTATAACATAAGAATACAGAGAAATGTACATTTACCAAACTATAGCCTATACTCACTCAGAAATGTTTCCATCAAGGGAGAACGGTCTCGTTGGCAGTGAACGTCCACAAAATGTAGCCTACTGTTAAACGATATAGCCGACTGTAACAGAGATGACAGCGTGATTATTTATGTCTCGCTCTAATGGCTTATAATCAAAAGTAGTTACGCAGCATGTTTCTATGACCTTGGTTTCACTTTACATGCATTACAGCAGATGATGCAATAGAAGCACCTGATTTTCGTGCGTTTCAATACTACGTTTCAGTTCAAGGTATTGTTTTAAAGTTAAGCAAATAATTAAATTGCAAATTAATTTAAACTATGTGTAAAAAATAGTATGCAATTTATAAGGTAATGACACCATAAAGCCCACAGCATATAAACAGACAAACAGGACAGAACATAATTGAATAATTGTCAAGTAAAACAACAGCAGACTACCTTGAGCCGGACGTCGAGTTTTAATGTTCATCACTACCGATCGCTGCTTTCTGCGTCTGCCCGGCTTCTCAAAAGTGCTGGAGATTTATGGTCCTATCCTGCTTCACGGAACCACAGTGACGCTCATCGGACGGGCCCCGCCTCTCATCCATCACTGTATCCAAACCCACTGAGAACCTCAGCGATGCGCGACTCTACAGATCATTAACAGCTATGGAATCCGACTCAGAGCTTTTACAAATAAAACACTAAAGAACACTATTAATTTAATAAAGGTAAACAAATCGGTCAAAACTGGACTTGTTGAAATGCCGAAATGTAGCCTGCCTTTTTGTAAATTTGATTGTACATTCAGTACTTCCATATGAGTGTCAGAATGGGATGACCTGGTTGAGAATTTTAAATGGATTTTAATGTGGGTATAATTTAATCTAAGGTGAGTGCAGTTTGGACGCAGGGTCACTACTGTATAAGAACATCCTGTAGGCTACTTTAGTTCCTTCTGTAGAGAAATGCTAATGACAGCCTGTTAAAAGAAAGGCTATTTTGGGGAGGAATGGAAAAGGAAACTGGTTTGTCATTATCACCATTCCTACAAAGTCTTGATACTTGATGGCATTTATGTCAGTCTATACAAACTACTCTACATTCAAATTAACTCTGTTGGGCAGAGGATACAAAGAGGAAAATGAGACTATTAATTTATTCCGGGAGCATAATGTCATCTGTCAATACAGTTGTACCCCTAACTCTACACAGATGACGATATCAAATCTGTGACATTGTGAAGAAAAACAGTGAATGCAAATGTCCTTTGTTTCACTTTCATCACCAGAGTTCAGGACACTATCACGTGCTTAACTAATGTATTATTTCTGCATTACACACACACACACACACACACACACACACAGACACAGACACACACACACACACACACACACACACGTCTGGTTTGCTATCCTTGTGGGGACTCTCCAACTGGCCAGTGTTAGTGTTAATGCAATCAGATTTAAGAAAGTCTAAGATTCTCAATCATACACACAATATGTATTAATTGTCGTATGGATGTGTCTGTGTATTTGAATGTAAGTTTATAGCGGGTTCATTTGAACTACACCAACAACACATCTTAATAAAAGACCCTTAACAGCCTGGCAGTTTCAGCCAACAGAACCAAGTTGATACATAAATGGCAAAACCAAAAGAGTTTGGAATGTACTCAAGAAAGCTCTATACATTTTTAGGGCCTCATTTAGGTATATGTATATATTTAGGGCCTGTCTAATATCTTCCTCAGGGTGTTGATGACTCTCCACTGTTCCAGGGCACCACACTGGCCTTGAACTCTCCAGGTTTGGCTTCCTCCATCTCTTGGATCAGTTTGTGCATTGGAAAGTCCCAGCGCGGGAATGCTATATCACCCGGCGACAGTGTGAGTGACGGGCAAAAGTCATTGGCCCCATCGCCCACGTACAAAACCTTCTGGTACGGTCGTCCACTCCTCTCTCGCACGCGCTGGGCCACGTACTGCCTCACCACCACTGCCTTGCACATGTTCGCCGGGCATCGCAGGCACTCATGGGAGTGGAAAGGGCGAAGCTGCAGCTGCCCATTATCATCAAAGTGAGCTGGGTTGGTGAAAATGCGCAGAAAGAGTGGGCGGAAGCCAAGGTGCTGCAGCCACGTCTCAATGACGACGGTATTAGCGTCTGACACACAAACGACTTCAAAGTCCCTTGATGGCTGGGAGAGTAGGAAATGCATCAAAGTGGGGATGCCTGGGCAGGGAGGGAGTTTCTCCACTGTGCCTCGAATAGCTGCCGGTGTGACGCCCTTTTCGGCGAGGTAGGCCAGCACACGCTGCATGTACTCATTGTAGTGGCCGGAACGGTAGGTGTCCTTCAACCAGCCAGGCAGGACTCCACCAGGCACCACAGTAACCATAGAGTCGTCGCTGCACTCGTCCACCAGGGTCTCATCAAAGTCAAAGAATATAAGGAAGCGCCTGTCGTTAGGGGGCGGAGCTTGAGCTCTGCTTCTGTGTTGTTGGTGCTCCTCCACTGCTCTAGGAGGATGGGGTGGGGAAACGCAGCAGTTGAAGACAGAGTCCCGCATCATGGATAGGAGGGAAGAACAGCACAGGTGTCTTTTTCTTCTCCGACTTCTGCTCTTTTTGTGCCGCCACTGCAAATGAAAAGAGCAATCCAGTTATGCCAGAACTTTAAGCAGACAAAAGACAAAAAAGAAGAAGAAAAACCCAGCTGTGAAATAAAACTTTAGCCTTAATATTGAACAATATTGAATATTTACAAAGTCTTATAAAATCAATTCATTGCAGTCTCCTGCATGCTCCTTCCATAAAAAAAAAAAAAGAAAAAAAAAACATTTTCTCCACCAGATACAGATACAATGTCAAATATTTATTTTAAATATTGACAAATCTGGCATTCACTTGAATGAATAAATTAACTGAGACTACATTGTGGTTTTAAACCTATTTTCTATTTATGCAATTTTCTTTTGAATTGTCACAAAAATTGACAGTTTACAGTGTTACAATATAAATATGTATTTAATATGTAGTAATATTTTTATTTAAAATATACCTTATAGTTGTGTTTTTCTTGATTTTAATATATTTGAATTTATATGATGCATTGATTTATTGTCTGAGTTTTTTAGGGTATTAAGTGGTAATCTCATATTATATATATATAGTTGGTCCCTATAACATAGGGAACAGAATAGAAAAACAGGTACACACACACACACACACACACATTGGGTTTCCATGTTTTATGAGGACATCCCATAGGTGTAATGGTTTTTATACTGTACAAACTATTATCCCTTACCCTAACAAAACTTTTTTTTAGATAAAAAAAAATAAATAATTCTGTGTGATTTATAAGCTGTTTTCCACATGGGGACCAAAAAATATTCCCACAAGGACAAGGATATTGGATCTTTGTGGACACACCCCCCCACACACACACACACACACACACACACACACACACACACACACACACACACACATGTTGTACATGTTGTAGATAAAAAAAAATAAATAATTCTGTGTGATTTATAAGCTGTTTTCCACATGGGGACCAAAAAATATTCCCACAAGGACAAGGATATTGGATCTTTGTGGACACACCCCCCCACACACACACACACACACACACACACACACACACACACACAATAGAGTATATTGATTTATATATTATAAAGCTAACCTTTTTATATAAAAATTGTTTCACATTTAAAAGTGCTTGTCTTAAAAACATTATTTTTAAATCAATGTGAGACTAAAACCAAAGCAACATGCATATAACTTTATCTAATCTTTACTAAACAAGGTCAAAGGTATAAAGAGATTGAGGTCATACTCATGAAACAAGCACTTTCTAGTCATTAAAAATGCCCCACTTCTAATATATACTGCTTTCAGTCTCCCCCAAACACAATTACAATGTACACATAGACAAATGCAGACAAGCGAGTTGTGCTTGTAGCTAATTCATTTTTTACTTTAAAGTTAGCAGAAAGTGTTAAATGAACAATATAAAAAAGGCCCAACATTAATGCAAGTCCATCATGGAGTCTCAAAAACAGGAAAACCATACAAAACAGAACTCAATGAAGGTCAGATGCTCCTGTACCAGACACAATGCTAAAAATAAAACACTGCTGAAGTCGAGAGGGTAGAGAGGATGAGAAGAGATTTGATTAAAAACACCTCACAAGAATAAACATTAATATGGTCTGCTTATTTTTCTTATCTAGCTAGGTTTTATTAGAAAGTGCATTCCATCAACTGATGGAGAATGGAGAGAATCAGACAATAAGTAGCCCAAAACACATCGAGTTAAAAAAAAATCATCTAAACCATCTAAACCAATAAGAGTACTTCTCAGGTGAGGAGGGCGGGGCATGAAGGCAAAACACAACTTCTTACAGGACAAACTAGAGTTTTCTGACATATAACAAAGGATCCCAGCCAAATCCCATGTGATTCTCCCCATTTTCCAACAGCCAGCCATCTTTCACATGTCAGACACACGATAAACAATTCTGTCAGTCGCGCAAACCTCTTACATGGCAGTAAAGTGCAGAGGACAGATGCCTTTGTCTAATGAGAGAGAACAAAAATAATTCACAATCAATCAATCAGCCGAGTCTGATTGACTCAAGGCTTTCAATCACTTTATCTGTGCTGCTCCTAACATCACACCATTTAACACATAAGCAACCATTTTAACACTCACTCACACACCGATCATCTGCATGACAAAGAATCATGTACCAGGAAAAGACAGAGCAACTAAAAAGCAGCTTTTGATACCAGCACCACAGGCATAAGATCAGTCAAAGACACACACACACACACACACGCACACACACACACCTACATTCGGTTGAATACATGATTAGAAACAAACCCTTTCTTCATCTTCCAACCCATCACACAGACTCTCACAAGCACACATCTCAATTCAACAGAGAAATCCGATTTCCTTTTAAAAAGTCTCACAGAGCATGTTTATCTACTTTACACAAATAAAAATATTGGTTAAGTGAGTTAGGTTGTATAGAACTTACAGTAAAACTCATGAATCATCTTTTTTCGCCTTTAGTTGCAGTCTTCCTATGACACATCACAGCATTGGTCTTCCTTAACAGTCTCAACCTCCGACTGAACGTCGGAGAGCTACAGGCATTACCCAGTAAGATTTTGTTTTTATTTTATAAAAAAAAAAAAATACTCCAATATTTGAATAGAACCACTGACAACCACAATCAGGCAACAGAAACGTCATGAAGACTACACTGCTTTTTACTGCTTAAGTGCTGTATACTATGTTTTGTGTAATGACTTGTATATGATTAATTATGTAGAATAGGTATATTTTCTGTTGTTGGGAAGACCTGCATTTCTAAAGAGGTTACACTGCACTTTTTGAAATCTAGACCTTTAACCTGTGAATGATTGAACCCGTAGAACCTTTGCAACAGCAGCTGAGTCAATAAAGAGTTAGAGAGAGAGAAACATGTTTGTGCCATTGAAATCCCAATGGCCCATCAATTTGATCGTTGTGACAGAGTTTGAAGCGAGGTGAAGTGAATCCGAGTAATGCTTTAGGAAGTTTGCGCTTGTGTTCAGATCAGATCAGATCAGATCTCAAGATCAGCTGTCTAACAATCCTGTTTGGTCACGAGTGCTAGTGGCAAGTGGGTTTGTAGTATCAGTTTTGTATCACACACACAGACATTTCATCGCATTTCACTGAGTTCCAGCTTCCCAATTCATGTGAGAATTAGACAGATGTATGCCGTTCGTCTGTTCTACAGCGAGCACCTGATTTCACATTAGAGAGTTTGTGTATGAGAGAGTGTGTTTCAGTGGTGTTGCGGAGCGGCGCCCTGTCACAGGTACGAGTCCTCGTGCGCGCAGTGGTTTATTGGCTCGCTCTTGAACAGGGCGGGGGGAGGGGGCAGGACAGAAGGCTGCACTGAGATTTGCTGAGGGGCATGGCTCGTCATGGGGGCGTGTCCTGTGTGATGGACAGGAGTGTGTGCGGGGTGATGTTGTGAGGGCTGCGTCTGCATGTGCAAATGAGAGAAGCCATGCGTGGGGACCGCCCGTTGTGGTAGGGGCACCCCCAAGGCGGGACTGATCATTATGGGGCCCATGGGCATCGACTGAGTGGGCTGGGTTGGGCTAGGCGTGTGGCCAGTAAGGTGAATGGGAAGCGCCATGCTGGCAGGCTGAAGGGTCACCGGGCTGGTGACCCGGAAGCACTTCTCTCGGTGTGCCTTGAGCATGTTGGAAAAGCGGAAGCGCTGGCCGCAGATTTCGCAAGGGTATGGCTTTTCCCCTGTGTGCGTGCGTCGGTGCCGCTTCATATTAGGCCGACTGGTAAAACTCTTCCCACAGATCTCACAGATGAATGGTTTCTCACCTGAAGAGAAGCAGAAGGATGGGAGAGAGAAAAATGAGATCTTGTTTCCTTCACTGGCAATAAAGCTACAAGGGCAGCAGGACTTAAACAAGTGGTGTCTGATGTTATTTATAGAGAACATCTGGGAGTGTTTAACCACAACAGGAGTTTAAATGTGTCCACTACAAGGGCAGACTTGAAGAACCAACTGGAGGATTCAGAAAAACACCAGAAAGACTCGTACACATACAGAACAACCAATACACTACTAGAATAAAATTCTTCAATAAACCTAACTGAATTAAGGAACACAAGAGTGACAATTTTCTACATTTTAAGTCTCAAGTCTTTAGACTTTAAGTCTTTTCAACAACACTAAATAAAAAAAATGTAACTTTTTGAACGGAACTGTTCTACTCTTGTACTATGAACACATTTTTTTGCATAAAATATACATTTGAAAATGTTACAATTGCTTTTTATTGATAAAAATACCATATTTACAATATCCATATTTTAATTTAGTAGAGCTAAATGGGTGCATGATGTTATATTAAACAAATAATGCTCCAACAAATTTCCAATATGTTTGTGTTGGTCTAGCTTTCAGAATATACATTTATGGCCAACCTCAATTTTACTGTAGTCCTAAATGCAAATGGGTTAAGAAATAATTAACCCAAAAATGAAAATTCTCTCATAAATTTACCAACCCCCATGCCAGATGTATATGACTTTCTTTCATCTGTGGAACAAACCAACATTTTTAGAAAAATAATCCATATCTGCGAGTCCATTTAATGCAAGTGTATGGGTACCTCAAAGCTAACACGTCAAAAACCACAATGCGCTTACGTCATGCTTCAGAACGTGATGATTTACCCACGTTCGACAGTTTAAAAAGTTTTAAATATTATTTTTTCAACCACACCACCCCCC